AATTCTTCTTATCAAGAACCCCTGAACCAGAAAAGCTGAAACTTATGTGGAAGCATTCCAAGCTAGTGTAAATTCTAAATTGTTAAAATCATGACCCTCGGGGGTAGGGCGGAGCCACTATGGGGAATCTAAGTTTTACATTGAAATATATAGGAAAAATCTATTTAAAAAGTCTTCTTAAGAACCATTGGGCCAGAAAAGCTGAAATTTATTTTGAAGCATCCTAAGGTAGTGTAGGTTCTAAATCGTTAAATTCATGACCCCTGGGGGTAGGGCGGGACCACAATAGGGAATTCAAGTTTTACATTGAAATAAATAGGAAAAAAATCTTTTAAAATCTTCAATTCAAAAACCATTCGGCCAGAAAAGCTAAAACTAAAAGACTTATATGGAAGCATCCTGGGGTGCTGTAGATTCTAAATTGTTAAAATCATCACCCCGGGAGTGGGACAGGGCCGCAATAGGGTATCCAATTGTACATTGAAATATATAGTAAAACTCTTTAAAATTTTTCTCCTCAAGAACCATTGGGCTAAAAAAGCTGAGATATTTGGAAGTATCCTGGAATATAGTGAGATTCTAAATTGTCTAAACCAAGACGCCTTGGAGTATGTAGGGGTAACAATAGGTATTACAATGGGGAGGGGGGGGGGGATCTGGTAATTATGAAGAGTAATGGCCAAATTTAATCAGGTGAGCGATGTGGCCCATGGGCCTCTTTTTCCAAGAAAGATATGTTAATGTTTCATAGGGGGGGCCAAGTTTTTTAATATATATTTTTACATGATATTAAAAGTAAAAAATTCCAAATTCCGACCATCCTCGCAATGCCAGGGATCCTGCGTCAACATGTTGCTGTTGAATAACGTGTTGACTCACTCTGGACCCATGCATGTAGCTGCAGATCTGTAGCGTTATGGTTTTATATATTGTCTTTGACCATAACGCTACAGATTCCCTAATGCAAAAAAGGTTCAATTTACGGCGCAATATTTTTTGCGCACTTTTGGGGAGCATTTCTCTACTTTCTATAGCATTGTCAGTCAATAACCTTTCACTCCCTAATTCTAGACACATATTCTGTAGCCAATATGTATATCCACCTCCCAACCATTTATAGTTGTCTCTACAGGCAATAAACTTGCTTGAAGTGAATTTTCAGAAATCTAAGAAATAATCACTTGTAGAGACGACTATAATGGGTTGGGAGATAGATAAAATATACAGATTAGTTAAATATTGTGCCTAGAGTTAAGGAGTGAAAGGTATTTAATTTACTGATGCTGGAAAGTGGAGAAATTCTCCCCAAAAGTGCATAAAAATATTGAGCCGTAAATTGCACTTTTTTGCATTACGGGATCTGTAGCGTTACATGGTCAAAGACAAATATATAAAACCATAACGCTACAGATCTGCATGCAGCTACCATGCATGCAGAGCAATTAAAAAAATATTTTTCTTTCACCCCTAAAGCTGGGGAATTCTCAAGTTGTTATTAGTATCCAACCTCCACATTTTTAAAAAGAATGCATGATCACACAAATACTAGTATTGTACTTCAGAATATTTATTTATGATCATAAATACACAAAATAAAAATTCAACATTGCAACTATAAAGTAAAGAGCATATAAAGATTCATTACAACTGATAAAAATATCTTATATTACTAAAAAAAAACACAATTATCAAAATACAGCTTTCTGTTGAGAAGTGATCTGTTTTTACTTTCACACTTTATACTGATATGTGACATTTAATTAATAATTTCATGTGATATTTAGTTTAAATTTCCTTATAAAAACCCCACAATAATCCATCTTTTTTTTCAACTAACCAAATACATTAAGGTAAGACCCTCCCTTTTACAAAGAAGTAACAAGTAAAACGAATAAAAATCATCCAAGTACATACATGTAACTCCTGGTCAATCAGGATCTAACAAAATCCTGATACTAGTAATGAATTCTAATTAGCAATCCAGAAAGCAAACCTTTTGGACTGTTTGGTTTTCTTTATAGGGAACTGCTGGGTTCTTTTTCTAAAGTAGTCCCTGGTACTGTTTTCTGGGACTATTGACTCCTCTTTCTAGGAAAGTCACTAGGAATGTTTTCTGGGACTATTGAGCTCTTTTCTAGTGAAGTCTGTGAGACTGTTTTGTGTAACTGCTGGGTTTTCTTTCTAGAGTAGTCTCTAGGACTGTTTTCTGGGTAGTCCCTGGGAATGTTTTCTAGGACTGTTGGGTTTGCTTTCTAGAAGACTAGTCCTTGAGACTTTTCCCAGTCTTGATAAGGTCACAATAATTATAATTCATAATACATGTACTGACATACATGTATATATTTACATGTATATAACTGCAATTGCATTGATTAAATCATGCAGTAATCAAAACATTAAATGAAGAAATGTATAAGATTTTAAATATCCTATCATATTTTAACAATTACACAAATGAAAACTTGAAAATTTGAGATTTATATTAATACATCAAAAAATTAGCGTGTTCGTTTCCATGCTACATGTGTGTGATACATGGTATGACTGTATGTTAACATGTTTGGTGAATAAATGCAAAAAACAACAAAAAAAAAACCATGCCCAGTGATTAAAATTGAAGTATAATAATTCAAACAACAGTATTTTGAAATAGAACTTAATGAGTGTAATGGTAAACTCATTTTTCAAAGTTAAGTTGGATTAGAATTTCTTCAAGAGAATGGTAAGTTAGGCCTTGGGCCACTTCCTGGAGATATTCCTAGCCCTGCCAGAGACTGGAGGTTAGTATTATTTGGTAGGCCCCCTCCTCCTGCCATTCCTGGTAACTGCATACCACCCAATCCTGACATACCACTGCCACCCAATCCTGGCATACCACTACCACCCAATCCTGGCATTCCACTACCACCTAATCCTGGCATCCTGGCTCCACCCAATCCTGACATACCACTACCACCCAATCCTGGCATACCACTGCCACCCAATCCTGGCATACCACTGCCACCTAATCCTGGCATCCTGGCTCCACCCAATCCTGGCATACCACTGCCACCTAATCCTGGCATACCACTACTGCCTAATCCTGGCATCCTGGCCCCACCCAATCCTGGCATACCACTACCACCCAATCCTGACATACCACTACCACCCAATCCTGGCATACCACTACCACCTAATCCAGGCATCCTGGCTCCACCCAATCCTGGCATCCTGGCTCCACCTAGTCCTGGCATACCACTGCCACCTAGTCCTGGCATACCACCTCCTAACATTCCTGGGGATAGACCACCCCCACCTCCAAGCATCCCATGCCCCATCTGCTGATGATGCCTCTCCTGCCTTCTGGCATCATGATCTAGATCTTCCTTCAGGAGCTCCAATACTTCATCCTGTTAACAAAATAAAATGAATGCAAAGAATTTAAGTCTATTAAGCAGACTTGAACTGTTCTATAAATGGGAATAAATACGTAGCAATGTATTTCACAGTGACGGATCCAGGAATTTCATAACAGGCAGGGAAAGGGGGGGGGGGTAAAAGGTAGGGGGTCTGGGGGCTGCATTATAGGCACTGGTTGGGGTAGGGGGCAAAGCCCCCCTGAAAACTGATGAAATACTCAACAAATAAGGGTTTAAATAGGTATTTTTTCCTTGATTTTAGGATACATGTAGGACAAACAAAATTTGAAAAAAAAAATAAAAGGGGGAAGGGCATGCCCAGAGTGCAAGCCCTGGATCTGCCTTTGTTTCAGAGCAAGTTTGTTAAAGAGCACATAAAGTCATGTGATCAATGAAGTCTTACAATCTCCCAGGCTTCAGGTTCTGAATAGTTGGCCCTGGCTACATTCCTCACGATCTCTTGAGTGATTACACCCCCTCTAGATTCCTCCTTTACATTTCCTGTTATATACTGTGAAATAGCAAAGAATCCCATTACTTATGATGATACTAATGTAAAAATGCACCATTTATTTTAGAAAACATAACGTTATTAATTTCATTGCTGTTCAAAAATCATTTTAATAGACTTGCACCATAATAAAAAATGATTTTGATGTACTTCAACCAACTCCTCAAAATCACCTATATCCAATCATATTTTCCAGTCATTTAAATTTTATTTATTTTAGTTGATTTATTTTTTAGTTTATTTATTTCATTGTAATAATAAAAAATGGAGAATTAGTGAAAATCAAACTTACATGGTGAAGAACAGTTCTTGTCACCCCTTTCAAATTAGACGGATCCACTACTCTCACACCTGGGATGTTCTGCATTAAACTTCTAAAGTCCTAAAATTGGATTTGTTATCAAAGAAAGTTGAGAGAATATCCACTTTACATTATATAATTAGCATTAAATATCACATACTTGAAATAGAAAAGCACTATATTCTAAATTAAAAAGCTGAAAAATGTAACAAACCTCACTAGCATCTCCGACAGGGATAAAGAAAAGCTTCATATGGTTTTGTTTTAAAATGGACTGCATTAACTCAACCATCTGTGACAGCTCCTGTAAGGAAAAAAAACATACAAATGTACAAATGTAAAAAGTCATGTTTTTTCTGGTTATTTACACTTTTTATTAAACACAGTAAATACAATGCTTACATTAAGAAGAACATCACATGACAATTTACAGCTCAAATGTTTTAATACCTCCAGAAGCATTACACTTTGCACCCCCTTTCAAATATAAAAAATTGTTTTCTAGAAGAATTGATCTTCATTTCTGTTTTAGCATTACCCACCCACCCCCTTACACTATTGGAAATGTTAATTCAAATATAAAAAATTGTTAAGAATTGGTACTAAAAGTAGTTGACACTGAAGAAATAGGATGCAACTTTTACCTTTTTTTTTTTTTTGCTTGTCAACTTTTTCAAGTAAGTAAAAAATTTTTGATCTGCCTGGCCCCCCCACTTTCAAAAACGATGCTACGCCACTGTTTAGCACTTAACTCTTCTTTTTTCTTCAAGTTATTGGGAACAGGCTTCTTAAGTGTTCTATTTATAGTAACCATGGCAACACCGTTCATCAAAATCAAAATCCTATTCACTAAATTAAGTATCTTAAGTGTACATAGTCTACTTGTGTACCAAGACAAAACTGTAGGAGGAGTAGCGTTTTAAAGGAATTTTACAGAAATTTCTATTTTTAGTAACTATGGCAACACTGTTCATCGAAATCAAAAACCAGTGCACTAAATTATGTATCTTATTGTATATGTAGTCTACTTGTGTGCCAAGTTATATTGATATCAGACCAAAACTGTAGAAGGAGTAGCATTTTGAAAAAAAATGTTAACAGACAGATGGGCAGACAGGTAGACAGAGAGACAGATGAATGGACGACGGACATCTTACTATCGCATAAGCTCTTCTGGTTTCTGACCAGAAGAGCTTAAAACAAACAACAAATCATTATAATAGCCCACCTGTGATTGATCCCCTGCTCCTGTCCCCATTGAACTGTTCCCACTTGAAAACTTGCCATTTGATAGCAACAGGATTCGTGACCTGATAGAGTGATTACCAATTAACATCTCAAAGGCTAAAACACGAAATTGACAGTAGGGATTTATCAATATACATGTTAAAATAACCCAAGAAAAAGACAGAGAGGTCAACATCACTTTAATTGATTGTTGCTGTTAATTATAATTGGTATAACAATGATGATACATTATAATTATACTCATTAAAAAAATTAGCTGAATTACTGTACATTCCAAAATATACGTGTGGAATTATCACGTAAATCCGTGAGAAGTGAAATAAAATTCCTTGCCTTTATTTTTATACTGCTGAAATCTATGTAAAATCTCTTGATCAACTATCCATTTGCAAATTATTATTTACATTGTAATTTTATGTTGAAGAGCCAATTTACAGATTTTTAAAAAAAATTTATTTGAGCTTCATGAAATAGATTTCTTACCCCTTTCAGTTGCTCCCATAACCAGAAGGAGGGCTATAATGAGATTGTTGGCCCCATGTACTTGAATTGGTGCTGAGAAAAAAATATAGCTTTTATTTTTTATCATTTAGATAATATATACCATTAAATTACCTGTTTGCTTCAATTGCTTGTCCATTTTTACTATCAATTATAGAAAATCTTAGGTCAAAAGAATTAAATTTTAATCACTCTACACTTCATTAAAACTTTTGATTATAATCAGACTATTTTAGAAAAGAAAACCCAATATATATTTGCTTACCAGATTATCAAAAAAGGAAAAAAAGAGATAATGAAGACCTAATTTAAAGCAGAGGACCTGATAAGTGCACTTACGTAATTTGTTCCTCAAACACTGATATTCATTTGTAAGGTGCTGTTCAACCTTAGGCTGACTGCCACCACAAGTGATCAATGCTACATTTTCTTCCAGTCCAAAGTCCATTGAGTTATCTTCCAGTCCTGTAGGGAGGATATATTTTCACAAAAGATATTCTTTTTCATCAAGATTCTGATATTTGTAATGAGGTGAAAAATATACAGGAACAACAGATTTAACATACCTTCCAAAAACCTTTCTATGAACTCCTTAGCTTGTTCAAAACTTTGTCCATACATGTGAGAGGAATTATCAAGGATGATCAATGTGTTCAGACCCTGACCCACAGAGTCTGTACACTCATTGGCTGTAAAAGAAAAACAATTATATATTTTGAAGAAAAAGCCTCAGATAAAACATGCATAGCATAAATGATTTACAGTTGAACTTCCGTATCTCGAACTACGATATCTCAAACACCATGGATCTGTCGAAGTGATTTGGAAGTCCCAACCACATATTCTTTAAGTATTTTACCTTCGATATTTCGAATCCTCTGAGATTTTTCCCAGTCCCATTGGGTTCGAGATAACAAAGTTTGACTGTATATGTACTGGGACATTCAAAATCATGACCATCTTACATAAACATACACCATTCACAGTGATTCAATCCCATGGAATCTTTTCAATTTGTGAGGGCCAATATTTGTCCTTCAAACAGAAGTTAAGTGGTTCACCTTGGGACCTAATTTCAGGAGAAGACTTAATTGTATATTTACAGAACACTGAATAAAAAGTTAAATGGACAGAGTTATTGTGAAAATGTAAATTTGGGGTAAGGGTCACCTATGAACCGGGCCTGGGCACTACAAATGATGTTTTCATAACACTTTGTATTCACTTTGTCTACCAATAGAGAGAGAAATCCAGATAATGTGTTTTAAGGTGGAGAAAATAAATGGTGATCAATTTTTACTCATAAATTTAGCAAGTAAGTAAATCAAATCAAAAACAGGGAAAAAATGTGGACCCCTGTAAACTCCAGTGGTAAAATGAGGTGTCTAGGAGGAGAAACCACCGTCAACTGGACACATTTACTGTGTGCCCTTATGTACTAAGCAGCTAAACAAAGATGAACATCAAATTTGGCATTAAAGCAATTTCCTAACAAAGATATGAATCATGTCAGACAAATTACAACTCAATCATTGGTTGTATATTCAAACAAGGTCATTATAAGGACCTAGGATGTTGAAATCACTGTAACTTCAACTTATTTGTCAGTGGCTTCTCTGGATATAAAAATTGATTTTACTTATACTTAAATTGTGTATAAAATCACTTGGGAGACATAAAAAATTTATACAGGGGATGTTGGAATATTCCTAGTACATAAATAAGGGAAATAAACAATGGAAAAGTTGGAAAAGTCATATTGCAAGTCAAACAGTCAAGATTTTAGTTAGCCATTATTGTTTATAGTCAGTAAAACATCCAATATGAAGATGTGGCAGACTGCCAATTATTTTCAGTTCATGGGATATATTAATACCGGTAATTAAAGCCTGCATGAATTCACATGGATATTCTGTTAGCAAAGAAACATACCTCGGTTCCTCTCTTCTTCCATGATTTGCTGAAAATAGTCTTGTCCACTGCCTAGAATAATAATTACACATTAAACAAGTTAAAAAAATCCATTAAAACTTTCTGAAACTGATTTAAATGTATTTCCAGATAAAAAATTCCAAACCTTGCATTCCCATTCCTCTTCCCATTCTTGGCATTCCACTCATTGCAGTATTTCCACCCATTCCAGGAAGACCTCCCATTCCTGGGAGACCACCCATTCCAGGGCTACCACCCATTCTAGGGTTACCACCCATTCCAGAAAGACCACCCATTCCAGGGAGACTGCCCATTCTAGGGCTACCACCCATTCCAGGGCTACCACCCATTCCAGGGCTACCACCCATTCCAGGGATACCACCCATTCCTGGGAGACCACCCATTCTAGGACGACCGCCTGTTCCAAGTTGTCCACCCATTCCTGGGAGACCACTCAATCCAGACTGACCACTCGATCCTGTGAGCCCACCCACTCCAGGAACTTGTATGCCACCAGTATTTTGCATTCTTTTGCTTCCAGCTGTAATAAATCACAGTAAACATTAAAAGGAAATATATAGAGAAAAATATTCAATTCAGTCCAAAACAAATGCAAAAGAGGTTTAGTCTGAATTAATCTTGTATCCATAAAAACCCACTGGAACAATAATCAAAGAAATAAGACTTTTGATGTGTTACCAGAAAGCTTTTAAGGTTTTTTAAATGATAACTGGCATCCTCTTACCTCCTCCTGTTTGATTTAATGAGTTAGCATCTGATCCCGCTGCACCTCTACTCCCACTGTCTGTTGCCGATGTACTCACTGACCCAGTTTGTCCTGATGCCTGGGATTGACCTTGAGTACCTGATGAGGAGGTTGATGTTGGAACACGCCCACCTTGCATTCCTGGTCTCCTCATATTAGGGTCATTTAGTACAATTCCAGATGTTGGGAATTTTCTATCTTTATATTGGGAAACCATTGACTTTGGAATTCTAGTTTGAGTATCTGGTGACATTTCTGATGGAGGAATATACCCTCCTTGAAATTGTGGGAGTGATATTAAGGGAACTGTTTCTTCTTCTTCTTCTTGGTTGGTTTGTGAAGAGGATGATGGAGTGCTGTATCCAGCACCACTCCCATTCATTGTAGGTGCTCCACTCTGATTCCCTTGCATTAAGGATGATGGGGGCATATATCCACCTCCAAGTCCATGACCATTCATCATGCCTCCACCTTGGGACATGGCTGATTGAGGTATATACCCGCCGCCACCTCCTCCCATTATGGATCCTCCCCCACCACCTAAAAGAGCACCCATTCCTCCCCCTCCTCCCATCCCCGCCATTCCTCCCAAAGAACCTCCAATACCAAAAGGGTTACCTGAAATGATAACATGTCAATTAAGTCTTCAGTGTTATTGGTGTTGAATAATCTATCCATCCATAAGCTTTCCATTTTTGCAGATGACACTGGTATGCATGTACAGAGTGACATTAATTTAAATGATTGCATCATACCCCCTCCTTGTTGAGTGGGCTCCATTGCAGAGGCGGGGATACCAGCACTTTCTAAAAATTTCCTAACATTGCTCCCATCTTCCCCTTGACCTTGACAAAAATAAAATTTTGAAAAAAAAATAGTTACTTGAAACAAACAGTACCATGAAATCACTCAGGAATGATAAATTTGCATACATACCTGATTGTAGAAGAGCTTCAAAGTTTTCTTTTGCTTCTCCTTGTCCAAGAATATCACTCAATGAATTTTCGCCGAACAGCGCCGAGGTATCGAAATTGATATCAACATTTGCTGGTTGGGGTCCCCTTCTATGAGCTTGCTCGCCAGTGTTTTCCTGATTGGTTGTATTTTCTGTCCTGTTTGTATTTGAAACTCCTGTATTTTGAAACGTCCCATTTTGTGTTATATTTGAAAAATTATTTCTTCCGGGATTCGCCATGCCTTGAATCTCACGTGTAAGTCCAAACTTAATATATTTATATTATCAAGTTCGCTGGAACTTTCTTTCATGAAATATACACATTCCACATCACATTTTGAAGACGATTTAGACTGACTGCAATAATGCGAGGCTGCTTTTTATTTTTGACCAGTCTATCAAGAAGTCAGACCTATTAAAAAAAAAATCAATTCATTATGGACTGAAAAGACTGAAAATTTGCACTGAACTTCAGTAAAATATTTAAGCTAAATAAAAGAAAGGAGGAAAATTCCCCAATAATTTCGGTTTATCGACTAAAAATATTTATCATTGAACTTCTACGCTAAGAATAGTTTTAATATTAAAAAAAAAAAAAAACTCGCTTAAAATACAATACAAAATTCTATGACATATTTAAAAAGGAAGAAAATCCAATAGCTAAAAATCGGAACATTTACAAATTTCATTCTGTACAAACTCAAAAAAGGGGGGATTCGAGTTTTCATTTTGTGTATAAATATATAATGGTCTAAATGCCATGTACAAAACCAAATATAAAACGCAATGAATAAGTTTAACAGAAACTGTACAGATTGGACAAAAAATACACTTAAAGGTACTTAGACACAGATTTGAAGTTATTATTTTCTCTATAATATTACCACTTATATATTTTAATAGCATTTCAAACAAAAATTAATTAAAAATCTTAATTTTTTGGCGGGTTTGATTGACACATCCTTGCTCTTTCACAAATTAATTCTATTCTTAATCCCTAGGAAAAGTGGCAATCTCGTTGTGTATAAATGAAAAATATCAATACTATAATCCAGAAAATTCAGAGTAGATATGTTCGTAAGCAAAACAAACACACAACATATTGTCAGTCCGTGCAGTTGTGGTAAGCAGACTGTGACGATTGAACGCACCCGGTGAATTGTAAACATCAATAATAACAGAACTCGTGCCCTGTTTACAAAAACTGTGTACTTAACACGAGTGTGCTCGATTTGCTAAACTCTGTACGCAACTCTTAGTTCGGAATGACGATACTTGTGAAGGAGTTTTGCTTTCTAACATTTCTACTCTGAATAAAATTAATTTTCTGGATAAAAGTTTTAATGATTTCTCATTAATACACAACAAGATTGCAACTTTTCCTAAGGATTAAGAATAAGGTTAAAATTTGTGAAAGTGCAAGGATGTGTCAATCAAACCCGCCAAAAAATAAAAAGTTAAAATAACTTTTAAATGAAATAAGATTTTTAATTAATTTTTGTGTGAAATGCTATTAAAATATGTAAAGCGTAATATTATAGAGAAAATATTGACTTCAAATCTGTGTCCAAGTACCTTTAAACTTAGCAAATCTATAAAGGAATAAAGAAAATGTCATTAAAAGTTATCTCTCTTATCAGAATATCGGTGAACCTAACACATACGATGTGTCCTAAAAGACTAAAATAAATGATGATGTTTGATCGAAATCAGCTATGTTAAAATATTTCTACTGGAGATTTAATTATCAACACAAACTGAAGTCTGCAGATAGTGGCTCATTACATGATCTTCGATATAAATACCGGTATATTTTCTATTCTGCCTTAAACAAATTAATAAAATAAAGTAAATTAATTAAATGATTTCTATTAATAAGAAGTGTACTAGGATTGTTTTTATCTGAAACCAGTTTACAAAAATAGTCCATATAATATTACTTTTATAGATAAGATTTATTAATACCAATTAAGGGCCCATCAGGGCATACAATAAAAGAGAAATACATACAAGGAGAAATTCAAAATTGATAGCAGCAACATGAGATATTAAAAAAAAAGAAACAACAAAAATAGATAAAGATGATAACAGATTTTGGGGATTACAACATATATAAATGACATACTGTGCATATAAGGTTTTTTTTTTTTACTAGAGTATAAGCATTATTACTCTTTCGCATTTATTTGGTTCTTTTTTGAACATTGCATGATTTTTATTTCTTATTTTAAAGATATTGGTTAAAAAAATTACCCAGCTTGATTAGCAACTTATCATTTTCATTAATCCATGAATTTTTTTCTTAATTTGTTCTACTACAGAAATTTTTATTACTTTTAACATTTTGAGTAAAATAAATCAATAATCTCAAAAAGCCATGTCTGTCATGTTTATATAAATACTTATGTGAATTGTAAACCCTCGCTAAGCATGTCTTTTTACAAGTACAATGTACAAAACTTCCACTTAAAATTCCGGTTTCCCCTCCATTAAACTGTTTAATTTAACTGAAAACTCATTTTCTTAATTTCCTTCATTGATATCAGCGGTTTTCAACTCTCCAAACAGATAACGAGCAGTAGGAACAAAACTCAAAAATATTAGCAGATCAAACCAAAAAAAAAAAAAATGCCGGAAACATCGATAATTTACATGAAGGTGTTAGGGGCTAATAACTTCTGTAGTTAATCATAGACAAATTTGGATATGCTATCATTATAAAGCTAATCAATATTTTTACAAACTACCTTATAGAGATGAAAATCTGCCCTACAAGTTCTATCCCTTATTGCTTCTTTGGAAACCAAGAAGTAATTTTAAAACAGAAAAAGATATTCTAAGTCGGCTAGTAAAACGTTTAGCTTTGTAAACGTTTTTTATAAAACCATTTCATTCCATCATATAAAAATGATTAAAACAAAGAGTTTAAAGCGTTCTTCCTTGGCAATTCATCCCCGGAGTTTCTCTTTAGATCTTACTTTTCACAACAGAAAGTAGTGAGTACAACAATATATATAAAAGTGCGGGGGTTTAACATCGATTAGTACTGCAACATATGTCTGTATCAATTGATGAAAAGATCGAGCAATTTCATTTTTTTTCCTCGCCTCTATTTTTAGCTTGTGATTATTATTTTTTTATTAAATATATACAATTTATTTGATTCCTTGTTCCTTCCCGTTGTAATCTAAGCAAGACAATGTTTTATCTAAAGTTTAAAATAACAAAAGAACCATGGGTCACATTGCTCACCTGATCACATTGACTTAGAAAAAGCACAAATCATGTCAGTACTGAAAAGTTTACGGGAGGGGGAGGGGGGCTTAAATTTACACTTCCCCAAGATGCTTCCATATCATTATTTACTAAACATGGCTTAGCTATTCTCCAGCGGAAGAATTTAAAAGATTTCCCCCTATATATTTTAAAGTAAAAAACTGATCGCTCAATGTGGCCGCACTCTACAAAACCTTAATTTGAACAAATCTGATTCTACATTACCTGAGCATACTTCCATAATAATATGACTAATCATGATTTTTCTGTTTTTGGGAAGAATGTTCTTAACAACATTTCAAATATATTCCTAATTTGCTATGTAAAACTTCAAATCTAGATAGAAGCATGCACAAGGTCCACTGTATATAAATTTGTAAATCCTCATAAAATCGAAAGTAGGGATTAAAATTTTCAAGTTAAAACGACCTCTTTTTTAATAAATGACTTTCTCTGGTTTACTTTCTGAATTTCAATTTCTCTATTGTTGGTCTATGTGCCCATACATTAGCCATTAGAAATAGGGAAATCGTTTATATTGTAATTGAAAGGTTCACCCCCCCCCCCTTGATTTATCTAAAGACAGCAGCACGTCATTGTCTGGTTTGTGCAGCGGTAGTAAAATACATGGCTACACTTTGTTCTTTTAATTAAGTTATAAAATTTAAGTGCTGTATGAAAAAATATAAATATAAGGCTCAATATGTTTACAACTATTAACGATAACTTAGTAAAATATTTATAAATAGCATATACTTATCTGGAATTTTTTTTAAATAATTGTCAAATGAATGAAAGCTCATGAAGTGTATTTTGAACATTAAAATCAATTAATTAAAGCTGATACATGACACGGTAGAAATTAAATTCTTTACCTTTCAGGTTTGATGTATAAATTACCCACGAACAACATTACATGAACAACAACACTGAGGAAATCCCCACTAGTGGACTAACAAAACGAAAGTAAAATCTATCGATATAAAAATAGAAAATTTCCTCAGTACAGGCACTTATTCATTTTTTGTTTACTTTGATGGAATCAATTGGAAATATTCAGAAGTTTTTCGTTTTATTTTTAATATTGAAACTTCCAAAGAAAACTTTTAATCTGGGGGTTGGGAATTTGGAAATGGGGATGGGGTGGATTAAAATAATGAAAGTCACCGCCTCTTTCTCCCTCTCTCTCTCTCTCTCTCTCTCAAAAATCCTTCGGATAAAGTTCAAATGAAAATTCATGGAATCAAATAAAAAAATAAATTACAATACAAATAAGAAATACAATGTAATACAATACGAATGGAAAATCTAGAATACAAACAAAAGATCAAATAATTCAAAAGAAAAAAAAAAACATTTGCCATCCAAAAATTAAGATTGGTGAAGATGGGCCTGCTATTCAAAGTGTTGAAACACTCGTTTAGGAATAAAATTTCAACAGGATGGTATTTATGGAAATCCCACTTATTTGATATTCATGCCAAAGACTGTAATCGATTCAATATCTTACGAATGTTAAAGTACACACTTAAGAGGGATGCTTAGATAAAAAAAAAATATTTTCCTTTTATTCGTCCTGTTCTTGAATACTTAGACATTGTATGGGATAATTTTACTTAAATAGAAGTTCAAAATTACTCGAATATGTTCAAATTGCAGCTGAACGAATAATAACGGGCAAGAGAATTCATCAAGAACAAAGCTTTATGAAGATCCTGCCTGGGATACACTTAAAAAAAGAAGAAACATACAAAAACTTGTGTTATTTTATAAAAAGAGTGTATGGATTAGCTCCCCAGTATTTGGAAACTTTATTACAGCAATGCATTTTACCACATAATTCTTATCCCCTAAGGAATCGAGACAATCTTACATTTCTTATCAAAGATGAAATAACCTTAAAAGCAGGGATTACTAGTTGAGTTATTATGTGTCAAACATAATAACAATAGTACTTAGTGATTAGTATTTTATTTGGCTGAATGGGCCACGGCCGCTTCAATGCAGGAGCAGAGGCATCAATATACTGTCTTTTGTAATGGCACCCTTAGAAAAAATGTGAACCCTGCATGGGCACAGATGTCTACGGAAGCCCGTTGGTGCCACGTACGAAAAATATTTTATTTCGCGGGATATATGGCTGCCGCCAAAAAATTTATATGGCGGCCGCTACATAATATCTGGTGTTAGTTTTAAGTGAGACCGGATTATCTCGTCACCTATATTCTTGTGTTTGCTGTAAGCTATGATTGGTTGAGAATTAAATAAAGTTTTGCATTCTGGATTTCTAAGAATATTTAAGAATTCGTTTTTTATCATTAACTTTTTTATCATCCATCTTCTTAACCCAATAAAGATACAATAACATTCACCTTTTGCAAAATCATTTATGTGGCGGCCGCCAGATATATGTGGCAGCCGCCAAATAATAAGTGGCTGCCGCCAGATAAATTATGAGGCGGTCGCCAAATAAAAAGTGGCGGCCGCCAGATAAAATATTTTTCGTACGTGCACCAACAGGCTTCCGTAGATGTCCATACTTAAAAACATTTGTTAAAATGTTGAAAAAAAAAGCTAGAGTTCAATGAGCCTACTGGTAAGCCCAATTTACGCATGCCTGGCGTGAACTGCTGGTATGTAAGGTTGCTGCAATCAAGCGGCCATGACGAGGGGTTCCTTGTAATGATGCAGCTGGGCTTGAAAAAATCGATCTGAAACGATAAAAAAAATACTCGGCAGGAAAAAAAGAAAAGCAGAGACAAAAAACTGTGAACAAATCTTCGGAGAAACCAAACAAATGTGAACTACATGCGGCCAATTTATACTGAAATTAACACGCAATTCTAAAAAACCTAGTCGACCCTTGTTTGATAGGGATGGGAGGGTGGGTAAAAGTTTCAACGCAGACTGATGACGAATAAGTGCCGTGACGTCAGAGTTCCCTTGCTAGGTGCTACTAATATCCCCAAACTATAAATGGAACTGTTAAACACAGTATAAATTGCCCAATGAACCCGATGTATTTTCGACCAGACCAGACAGCAATTATTTATTTCACTTTGATAAATAGATTAAACCTTTAGTGGTTGAATCCCATTATCAAAGATGAAATAACCTTAAAAGCTCTCCAGCTCTCCAGTTTTTGGAAAATTTATTACAGCAATACATTGTACCACATAATTCTTATCCCCTAAGGAATCGAGACAATCTTGCATTTCTTATTTCACATGCAACTGCGAGCCAAAAAACAAGATGTGTTTGTGAAACACTGATGCCCCCGTATGGCAACATAGTGAAGATTAAACTTTTCTTAAATGCAAATTTAATACCGTATATTGGTACCTAAAGTATCGTCTCCTAACTGGAAATACAATTGTGAAACATGGAAGCCCTATCACCATCTGTTCCCAATTATTCAGGCAAAACTTTTCTCATAAGTACAGAAACCTTCAAGATCAAGGTCAGGAGGTCAAAATTATTGGTATCAAATGGAAGGTATTTTCACAAAGAAAACATGTACGAAGCCCTAACATTCAAAAGTTATGGTTAAGGTTAAAAGATTTTAAAAGTAGGTTAAATTCCAAGATAAAGGTCAGAAGGTCAAGTTTATTGGTGCCCTAGCCCTTATTCTTGAAAAGTTATTGCCAAGGTTAATATTTTTCTGTAAGGTCAAGGTCATAAGGTCAAGGTTATTGGTATACAATAAAAGGACTTGCCACAAAGAATACATTTATGCTCTAACTGTTAAAAAGTTATGGCCAAGGTTAATGTTTTTATAAGTCTGGAAATCTCCAAGGTCAAGGTCAGAAGGTCAAGGTTATTGGAATCCAATGAAAGGTCTTTCCACAAAGAATACATATGTGAAGCATGGAAGCTCTAGCCCTAACCGTTTAAAAGTTATGGCCAAGTTTTAAAAAAAATTAAAAGTAGGTCAAACTCTAAGGTCAAGGTCAAAGGGTCAAAGGTTCTGATATCAAATGAAAGGTCTTGTCACAAGAATTAAATATGTAAAGTAAGAAAGCACTAGCTCTTACCCTTTAAAAGATATGGTCAAAGTTTTTTTAAAGTAGGTCAAACTCCAAGGTCAAGGTCAAAGCTCTTAGTATCCAATGAAGCGTCTTCTTACGAAGATTACATATGTAAAGTATGAAAGCTCTATTTCTTACCGTTCAAAAGTCATTGCCAAGGTTGAAGATTTTTCATTAGTACGTTAATCTCCAAGGTCAAGGTCAAAAGGTCAAGGTTGGTGGTGTCCAATTAAAGGTCTTACCACAAAGAATATATATGTGAAGTTTAAAAATCCTAGTATCTACCGTTCAAAAGTTATGGCCAAAGTAAAAAAAAAAAAAAATTGTGTTAATGTGGGTCCAAGGTCAAGGTCAAAAGGTCAAGTTTGGTGGTACCCAAGGAAAGGTCTTGTCACAAAGAATACACGTGTGAAATATGAAAGTCATAGCTCCACTAAATCAAAAGTTATGGGCAAGGTTAAAGTTTTTGCGGACAAACAGACAAACAGAGAGACAGACAGACGGACACGACAAAAACTATATACCCCGAAACTACGTTTACAGTGGTATAGTAAGACTTCAATTATGAAAAGTTTCTTCCCTTAAACTATAAGACTTTGGAATGATTTACCCTTTGATACTAGTATTCGAAACTTTTCTTCACTTTCATCATTCAAGACTGCCATAAAGAATATATACTATGGAAGGTAATCGTGTTAAAAAATCCAGACATGTAAGTTTGTAAATCCAAACTTGTGATTACCCTCCGTAATATACTTACTAAAAAAACATAAAAATATTACAAGTATGGAAGTCGTAAAATGAATACCGGGTATATTGCATTGTCAATCGCGAAATAATGCTAGAAATTTAAATTAAGGGACGATCAAAGTTGCGACATGTGCAAATATAGTTCAGAAAGTATATAAACTATATAATCAACAGATATTCATTTCAGGAATTACTACTGGGGGTTGGGGTTGGGGGGGGGGGGTGATCAATTAATATGATCGCGTGATAATTTGCGTAAACATCGTATTTACATTTTTACCTGATCTTTAATTCAATTTTTAAAAAATTAGATCTTTAATTCAGTAAAAAAAAAATTCAGTGGTAAGAAATCTCAGCATCCC